TACAGGCATAGCTTGAAGGATAGAAACATCTCCTTTGCAGAGCGCATCCATCCTACATTTGTCTAACAACACGTTCGACCGTCCGACAACATTCAGGGGTCCCGTACTGGCGTCAGTGGCTGTCTAGGGGCCAAAGAGGGGGGTGTAGGAGCAGAAGGGAGCGTTTTAGGAGCAAAAGGGGGGGGGCTTTAATAAGTGACATCTGTGATACTGATTTTTGTTGTGTCTGTAAAATTTCATCTGCTGTGGGGGCGGGGGCTTCCGTAACCTTCACCGGAGTTAGCGGCGGGTATAAATCAGGTCTATCCTTGGTGTCTGTTTCTCTGGGATCAAAAGGATAGTCAGATTCTGGCAGATCTACCCCCCGCATGCCCGGTGTTGAGTTAGGGGTTTCATCCTGCGCAGGACTAAATGTTTCAAAAGACTGCAGCTCAGTCTGTTCCTGCTTTTGCGAGAACGGAGGAGGGGCAGCCGACACTTGTAAGATAGTTTCTGCGACTTTTAGAGCATTTAAAGCTGTATACACTGTTTTCCAAGTAATAATGATTTCGTCAGGGACTTCAAGCTGCAAGTCCTTTTTTGTCTGCAATTCCTCCCCCACCTTTGCCCACAATGAGCTATCATATGAACCTGAGGAAGGGTACCATGAGCAAGTGTCTTATCCAAACTAACAATTTAACCAACTTTGATACTGCAAACCCTTGTTCTTTCAAAATTCTTTGTAAAATCTCTTGATGGGGCTTTTGCTCCTTTGTAGCTGAGTGTCCTATCTCATAAATCCGCAGCGGCTCACCTCAAATCGTTCCAGCGAAGGGTGATGTCTCCCCTTGTGTGTGTCCACGCATGCATATCTGTCTCCTCTTGGTCCCAGCTGCGGTTCCCCACCGGTACTGATCTCCAACTCTGAATATCTTTATGTCCAAATATCTTTATGTCCAAATATCTTTATGTTTGAAAACCCACTTTCAGACGCCATCTGTGGTGAATGACTTCATGGACCCCAATCTTGTGCTCGATCAGAATCCTTTTATTGCTCAAGTGAATACCTTATATACTAATACAAAAGTTACTAGAGCCAATCAGCTTTGGATTCGTGGCTTTGCAAATGCCAGTTCACAGTTGTTGCTTTGCAGGATCTTTTGCAGCTGGATGTGTGAAAACAGCTGATCTCCTGAGAACACAGAAGGGAGACACAGGATGTGCTGATCCTTCAGGGTCATGAGACAGTGCTGTTCTGTATCAAATTATATGGTTTCCCACACTGGAGGTCAGTGGTGAGTTTGCAAAGGGGTGTGCAAGTGTTTATTCTACTAATAGTCCTGTAGAGCAAGCAGGGTCCTGTACCATGAAGTTGCGTCAATTTTAGGGTGGAAATGCAGCAAGTAGCAGTGTTCAGTCGTTGGACCGCGGAGCAGGTTGGTTTGTCTGTGTAGCTGGATGCGAAGGTGGTGGTGACTAACAGGGAACAGAGTGTGGGTAAGCTAGAGCAACCGAATAAAAATAGTCTGCTTCGTCTTTCACTGTGTCTCACCTTAGAAACTTGAGCTTGGCAGTGGTTTTATAGTTTTCTGTTTGTCTTATGGTGCCGGAGTGCTTTAGTTTATCCTTGCACAGTTAATTTTAGTAAATTGAGTGCTGTGAGGATAGGGACCCACAAGGAGATTGTTGTCATATGACTTGAGTTTTCCCTTTGTACCGGCGTAGTGCAGGCAGACGGTCAAGATCAATAAACAGGCAGTCAGTTTTCTGCAGAGTATTTTAGTAGGATGTTTAACTACACTTGTAAGAACTTAGGTTATCTGTAGGTCTGTTTTGTTTTGGGTTTTTTTCCCCTCCTAAATTTTGCCTGAGCCTAACCCTCTAGATATGATAGGCATGTGGGAATTTTTGCCAGTCTTACAGATACAGATTTGATACTGCAGCTTTTAGGGCAGGTGTTGCTATTTTAGTTGCAAAATGGTTGTGCTGTTGGGCATGGATTTGCTCATCTGTGTATTTCAGCCATGGCCAAATGAAATTTCAGGTGTCTAGTGAAAAATTTTGTTTAACAGGAAAACCTTGAGACTTAATGTTACTACTGCTTTAATAAGAGGCTGAATTGCTGTAGAGTACCTATGTGTTTTCAGGTGCTCTTTCTCATTCAGCCCAAAGCAAATCACAAGGGAATTTCACATTTTTCTTTTTCAAAGAGTGAGAAGAGCTTGAGTACGGGGAGGATATCAAGTTGCACCTTTACATGAGTGCAATCAGTAAATAATTGGTGGTTTGATGGTAAGATGCTACCTGTGTAGGAAAAAATTTTTAAAATTTACTTGCAGATTTTTTTTTTGTGGTTTATGTGTTCAATTTTTTACGTTCTCCTGCATGGGATTTCTAGTTTTGGCTAGATCTCTTCCCCTGACAGCATGTTTCTGCAAGGGCAGGTGCTGATTTCTGTCATAACTGCCAGCCAGTTCTGACTCCTATTTCTTAACTCTTAAAAGATGGAGATAAGTTATTTATTTCACACAGTTAACTGTTAATAGCATTTAATTGCTAATACAGTATTTTTAATTTTAAGAAGCTATGGTTACATCTTTCTAAAGCTACAATATTAATACTCTGTGATTCCAGATCCTCTGGATTTTAGATGGTAGGAAATGAAATGTAGTTTCAGGGCTATTGAGTACAGTATTTTTGCATAGCGGTAGAATAATACTGATTTGAACTACAGAAAACCAGATTGTTTTGTGTAAGATCAGCTCTGTTGCATCTTTAGTGAGGGGGAATATACCTCTAAATGTTTAAATCAGTAGACAGTTAAATTTGTTAGCATTTGAGAGAATGGAAACAACTGGGTTGTTTGCTGTTTGTTGTTGTTACTCTATTTACTTCTGTGCAGTTTTTATCTTTAGAAAAATAGATACGTAAGACATCTTTAAACCACATATTTACTGTTACAATTATACTTGCAGTTCAGATTGTCTAATCTGTGTCTGTTAAGATTTTTCAGTGTTAGATTAGTAAACTGTAAAATCTTGGAAATTTGATTTGTGTTATTTTTTTGTGGTACTGTTAAAGTTATGAAGGTTGTTCTTGTGACAATGCTGTGCAGTGTAGTTAGAGTTGGGATTTGGCGTGTTGTTTTTTTTTAATTCAGGTTTTGGGGAGAAACGTTGGAGAGGGTTATTCTGTCCTTTGTTCTGGGAAATCTGTGGAAAAGACTGACAACTTGATAGTTGCAGCCTGTAAAGCCAGTTCACAATGCTTGGGGTAGGTGGGGAAAGCACAGATTAATTTACAAAGGTTTGGTCTGGAGTTGAGTCTGTAGGCTGCTGCAGTTTGACTACATTAATTTTTGTGAGGTTCTTATGATGGAAACCTGCACTTTTAAACCAGCAGTGTTTAGTTCATGTATGATAATTCTGTTTCTTCTCTTCTCAGTAATGATTGATAGGCAGGTATGAAAACAAAGGACCAGTCAAATTCTAGCACTTCTTTATATTTACATGAAAGTTACAGTTTCTCATCTTGTCACAAAACACTTCTAATTGAAAATGTTGTTTGCTTTTTGTATGACTGTTGGCTTTTTGCTGTGCTTTCTAGTACGTAAAGGGGAGGAAGAACAGACTGGCATTTAAAATATTTGTATGCCTCCTTAAATCTCTGGGAATTTTTTTAAGAATTAAATGTATTATACTGCCTACTATTAAAGAATAAAAGTGAAAATACCGATTTTTGCAGTGTAGAAAATAATTTTTAAAACTGTTCACTGCTGGGTAAAACCTGTTGCTCAGTACCTGTTAAAAATCGTTAACTTCTTTCTGGGCTGCTATTTATTTAAACAAATTAGTGCATGAGACTTTGTTACTACAAGGCAGAGGCAGTCATCAGAGAGTTTATCTCATCAGTGTTGTTGTGATGGTGCTCTGGGCAGAGCATCAATGCTTGAGTCTCTCCCTTGCTTGCCAGCTATGGGACGTATCTTGCTGCTAACCCTCTGCCAAGCTCTTGCCACTGTCTCTGGCTCTGTTGAGGAGTTCAGGCTTGTTTCTTTGAGCTCCCTGAATGAGCCCAGTGGTGCTAGACAAGTTTGATTTTAAAATCTGTGGCATGCTGTGGCAACAGAGGTCTCAGCAACTGTAACATCCTGTAAAAGATAGATCAAATCTAATTTCTTTTAAATACAATTCAGACTTGTTCTCAGTTTTTGATGCGTATGAATTGCCTTTGTATGGCTTCAGTAACTTGTCCATAAAACTGTGTAAAACAAAGTGTCTGTCTGTACAGTAGGAGGTGTGTATTTTTCATATGACATCTTGCTCATGAGGATAAATACCAAGATAGATGTTTGTGTTTTCAGATGGTTATGGTGGTAGAGACTATAGTAGAAACTGAATTACTATACATAACAACCACAAAAAAAAAAAGCAGAGCTGAACAAGAAGTGTGAGGTGGATTGATTTTACTGATTACTGTTAGGGTACAGAGTGGTTTGTAGTAAGTATAAATTTACTATTTGTGCCTGCTGTTCTGAAGCTTGTAGAGAAAAACTCCACGCGACTCAATGAGATGCTAATCACTTTTCTCTTTCTGGATAGAAGTATTGTGAACATAGCATATGGCTTGAAACAAGGTGTTCCACATTTATAGGCTTGTAAGGGAAATCAAGGTCTTTCTTTGTATAGCCCAGCTGAAGTGCATCTACACTAATGTACAGAGCATGGGCAGCAGACAGGAGCTGGAAGCCATCATGCAGCTGTATATGTGATATAGTGGCCATCACGGAAACATGGTGGGACAACACAGCTGGAGTGCTGCAGTGAATGGCTATAAACCCTTCAGAAGGGATAGGCAAGGAAGGAAAGGCAGTGGGGTAGCCCTGTATGTTAAGGAGTCTTTTGATTGTCTAGAGCTTGATGATGGTGACGACAGGGTTGAGTGTTTATGGGTAAGAGTCAGGGCGAAGGTTAACAAGGCAGACATCATGGTGGGAGTCTGTTATAGACCACCCAACCAGGATGGAGGGGCAGATAAAATACTTTATATGTAGCTGGGAGAAGTCTCGTGATTGCTGGCCCTTGTTCTTGTCCCCACAAGACTTCAACTTATCAGATGTCTGCTGCAAATGCAGTACAGCAGATAGAAAACAGCCTAGGAGATTCCTGGAGTGTGTGGAAGATAACTTCCTGACGCAACTGGTGAGGGAGCTGACTAGGGAAGGTGCCCCGCTAGACCTGCTTTTTGCAAACAGGGAAGGCCTTGTGGATGGTGTGATGGCTGGAGACTGTCTTGGGCACAGCAATCATGAAATGCGAGAGTTTCCTCTTCTTGGAGATGTAAGGAGGGGGATCAGCAGAACTGCTGCTTTGGATTTCCGGAGGGCAGACTTTGGCCTGTTTAGGAGCCTGGTTGACAGTGTCCCATGGGAGGCAGTTCTGAAGGGCAAAGGAGTCCAGGAAGGGTGGACACTCTTCAAGGAGGAGGTCTTAAAGGACCAGAAGCAGGCTGTCCCTGTGTGCTGGCAGACGAATTGCCGGGGAAGACCACCAGCCTGGCTGAACAGAGAGCTTTGTTTGGAACCTAGGAGAAATCCAAGGAGAATTATGTCCTTTGGAAGAAGGGGCAGGCCGCTCAGGAGGACTACAGGGATATTGTGAGGTTATGCATGGAGAAAGAAGAGCCAAAGCCCAACTAGAACTTAGCCTGGCTACTGCCATAAATGACAATAAAAAATATTTCTATAAATATATCGGCAGCAAAAGGAGGGTGAAGGAGGATCTCCATCCTCTATTAGATGCAGGGGGAAACTTAGCAACAAAGGATGAGGAAAAGGCTGAAATACTTAATGCCTTCTTTGCCTCAGCCTTTAACAGTAAGGGAAGTTGTTCTCCAGACACAGGAAGCAGGAAGACAGGGATGGGAAGCAGAAGGAAACCCCCCAAATCCAGGGGGAAATGATCAGTGACCTGCTGTGCCACATAGACACACAAGTCTGTGGGGCCAGAGGGCATCCACCCAAGGGTGCTGAGGGACCTGGCAGAGGAGCTGGACAAGCCACTCGCCATCATCTGTCAGCTGTCCTGGCTAACAGGGGAGCTCCCCGTTGACTGGACATTC